AGCACTTGCTCTACCTCCTACTTGTTATATTTTCTCACATATGCTTAGTTGAAGTTGTTATTTTCCTTATTTCCTTATTACCTCTTTATTGTTTAATACTCTTACTTGAGGTTGTTATTTTGTGGAATATCTTAATGTTGAGTTATTGGTTTTGAAGTTAAAAAAGCCGTTATCACATTGAGAAAAAGTTGTTAATTGTTGAGATATCTTTCTTGTTGAGCAATTCACATTCATTTTGTTATTGTTGAGATTCGTGTACACTTTGTGGTTGATCCATGGGCTATTTATTGTGGAAATATTGGTATTGTTGACTTTGGGGAAAATTATGGCATATGCGCACTTGCGAATTGTATTGTGATATTAATACGCATGCGGTGGTATAAGACTAAGGGTTGATACACATGCGGTGAGATAAGGTGGTACGCGTGTTGCTAGTAGGGAAACTACTTGAAGCCACACGGTGTGATAAGGTGGGCTAAACGCGTGTAGCTATTTTGGAAAAAAATAATTTTCAAAACTAAATGTAAAGCTCACGCAGTGATATAAGGAAAGATTGGGATTGAAATTGTGAAATGTGGAAACGAGGCGGTACCTCGGTTGTTATTCTTGTTTCACAATCTATGTCATTTATTTTTTCGTTCTACATTATTTGACCGTACCATATCTTGTTCAGTTTCGTTTATCTTAGTAGGTGTCTTGACCTGGCCTCGTCACTACTCTACCGAGGTTAGGCTTGATACTTACTGGGTATCATTGTGGTATACTCATACTATATTTCTGCATATTTTTGTGCAGATCCAGGTACGTCTGCCCGTGCTGAACGCTAGTGATTGATTGATTAACTGCTTTCCGGAGGCTTCAAGGTATACCTGCTCGACGTCCGCAGGCCTCGGATTCACCTTCCGTTATCTTCTCATTACTGTTATTTCCTTTATCAGACAGTATTGTAGTAGAGGTTTAGAATATTCTGTAGAGCTTATGACTCAGTTCCACGGGTTTTGGGAATTATATTGTTGATGTTCTATTTGGCAATTAATATGAGCTTATCGATTTTATTTTAGTATCTCAGATGGTTATTTTTGTTAAACTATTATTAAATATTAGGCTTACCTAATCTTACAGACTAGGTGTCATCACGACATCCTAAGGTGGAAAATTGGGGTCCTGATACTTGAAGACTAAAGAAAAATACAAAAAGATTTTTCTTTTTTTCTTTTATAATTGACAAGTAGAATAGGATGAACTTGAGTATATTTGTTATTTGACGCGTTTTATGTCGGGACTTAGGTTTGGAGCATTTGAGTTGAGTATTTTCTTCATGATTTTTGTGATTACATGCCTTGAGAATATATGTGACTTTCATTTGATACTTAGGCTCATCTTTAGACTCCTGTGATTGCTTCCTATGTGTTAAAATATATGATGACTGTACTTATTTGCTTTAACTCGAGAGTTAGGTCTGAACCGTCCAAAGTGAGTCATGTGCACTATGTGATGTGAGATTTTAGTCATACTTTGTTTCATTCCTTGCTAGTCTAGAAGTTGTCCCGTATGTGAATCGAAGCAAAATGAGCAAGTCTTGTGAGTGTAGGAAATGATATAAGTATTTCTTTGATTGAACTTTGAGATATTTGCCCACCAGTGGTAAAGTTATTCTTTTGTTAGCCCATTTGAGTCTTTAAACTTTTTTTGGCACCCACACTTAGGCTAAATCTCTTTTGTTCTTAATTAAATCTTGTTGAATTTTTACCTCTTAAAGAACTAAGTCGCTAGAAGAGTAAGGGAAGGATTGGATAACTCTTGAGTGAAACCATAGAAAGGCTAAAAGGTACACGTATGTATTGAAAAATCCACTAACCAGAAATACCAACTTATGGAGGGTGTTGAAAAGATTTTGAAAACAAAAAAAGAGAAAATACAAGAATATCAATAAAAAAAATACCCCTCCAATTCATTTTAATCTGAGCTAGTAATTATGTAAAAGTGCTTAAAGACAATGGGCTGAGTTAAGTACGATTTTGTAGCAATCTGTTGAGTTGGTCTTAAAGAGTATGTGCCTAAAAGTTATAGTGTATTATATTAAAAGTGCTTAGAATTAGTCACTGCTATCCATATCTATCTTGCTCATCCCTTAGCCTACATTGCACCCGTAAACACCTAACTAATCCTAGATTTTACGAGCTTAAATTAGTAGAGACTAACACGGCGAACAAGCCTACACTACAACAAAAAGTACTTTTAGCGATAATTATTTAGTGGTAATTAATTAATTACCACTAATTTATCTCCTAACCTCAAAAATTAGCAGCAAATGTTAATTAGCCAGGAAAGAACATTACTTTATCGGCAATTACAAGAAATGGCTGGAAAAAGAGTCTTCTTTTACTTTTTATATTCCTCCAAATGAGTTGAAAGATAAAATTAATATTCCCTCCAAAATAAAACCCTATATGATCATTTCATTCTCTCTTCTCTCACTCCTTCCGCCCACCCTCTCTCCCTTGTACTTCAAATGACTATGTTGCTCTCCTATTATCGGAACAACATAGAGATCATCACTACTCAAGGAGTCAGTTGCTACAACTCTTGTAATACTGGCACGACCCAAAATCTCACCCGTCGTGATGGCGCATATCTCAATACTAGGCAAGCCGAAAATCTCAATAAACCACAATTTCTCTCAAGATTGAAAATATAATATTTAAATACAATACAAACACTCCCCAAAATCTGGTGTCACTGAGTACATGAGCATCTAATATGAATACAAGTTTGAGATCAAATATAGTGAACAAAAGGATAGAGAAGGAGAGACAAGGTCTGCGGAACACGGTAGCTACCTCAAAATCTCCTGAAAATCAATCGCGCAAAAGGATCAACACCCGTTATGTCCGGAAATACCTGGATCTGCACACGAAGTGCAGGGTGTAGTATGAGTACAACCAACTCAGCAAGTAACAATAATAAATAAGGAACTGAAGATAGTAACGAGCTACACAATTATGGTTCATTTCCAGTAATTCCAGCAAAAGAATAGACATGCTATCAAATCTGGGTGTTAAATGTCAAATCAATTTTTTTTTATACTTTCTTGTTCATGTAATCCATATATCAACAATTTTTTAGAGATTTCACAACAATGACAGATAGCAACTAAGTGCAACAACAAATGAAAATCAAGTACAACCTCTTAGGACAACAATCACTCACTGGGCTCCCAACCCTCATCAATCACTCCCAATGGGTACCCGCGCTCACTGGGGGTGTACAGACTCATGAGGGGCTCCTACAGCCCAAGCGCTATAAGCACGGATAACTCACGTGCCATAATATAAATGTCTAGATCCGCACGGCCAACTCACGTGCAATAATAATATAAGGATTCGCACGGCCAACTCACGTGCTGCACGGCCAACTTACGTATAATAATAAGCCAATAAGGCCTGCTGCAGGCGGGCAGCCCCGATCCATAAAATATCCTCACAATCAGGCCCTCGGCCTCCCTCAGTCATAAATCTCTCCAGTCTCTCGGGCTCTCAATAATCATGAAATCAGCCCAAACAACAATAATATGATGTATCAATAATAATAACAGAGACTGAGATAAAATATGCAAGTAAAAATTGAGACTGAGTAAATATAGCATTTAGCAGGCAATTCAACATGTACACAACCTCTGTAGGTCCCAACAGTACCATCACATAGCCTAAGCATGATTTCTAACATGATTTACAGTCAAATTTTATCAACACATAGAGGGCATATAGCTAACAACAAATTATTCAACTTTATAGCCAATAAAATCCGAAATTAACTTCAAAAATCGCCCGTAGGGCCCACATCTCGGAACCCGACAAAAGATACGGAATATGAACGCTCATCCAACTACGAGTCCAACCATATAAATTTTACCAAAATCCGACATCAACTCGACCCTCAAATCTTCAATTAAAGTTTATGAAGATTTCTACCATTTTCAACCCAATCCTTACCCATTTGAACTTAACAATCTTTCCACAACCTTATTGGTATGTATATATGATACTCTACACCCAAGAATCATACTATTAATCACCCATCTTTACTTCAAACCCGAAATTGAAGAATTAGAGAAAGAAATTCTTACCTCTTTGAAGCCCTATCAAGATCCTTGTGAAATCTTCAAACCTTGAACAAGAATTGATGGATAAATGACTAAGTCTTCACTTTCTCTCTCTAAAATGCTCTCCCCTCTCTCTAAAATATCCGATTTTGGCTCAAAAATGAGTTTCAAGGGATATAAATCGAAGTTGGGTCGGGTCAAAAATTAGAAAGAATGGAAGCTCCGACGCAGTTATGCGGTCGCATATGTAATCGCATAACAGGTATGCGGTCCGCATACCAACCGCATAATTTGGCCACCAAAGCTGGGCGTTACTGACCTGTTCTGCGGTCATTATGCGGTCCGCATACTTGTTCTGCGGTCACATGATGCACCACAAAATAGGTCTGCGTTCGCATAGTGCACCGCCGATTTTCCTCAAATCTTGCCCTCCTCCTGCTCCACTTTGCGACCATTATGCGGTCTGCAGAGTGATTCTGCGACCGCATAGTGGTCGCAGAAATGGCCATTTTCCGACAAAATTTTTCTTTACACATCGGTGCATTGTTCAACCCAAAAAGTCTGAGCCGCGGCGAGCTTTGTACTAATTGATCTACCTCGGCACCACCAAAACTTAATTTCCTTAGCAAAATTTCTCCGGGGTCGTTACACATAAGTTAGCATCCGGTTAACCTTTTCAACTTAAATTTTAAACCTTGGAACTAAGCGCTCCAAATTATTTCAAAACCTCACCGAACCCAAACCAATTACCCCGGCAAGCCAAATAACAACTGTAATTCACAATTTAAGCAGTAAATGGGGGAACGGGATTGCAATAGTCAAAATGACCGGCGGGTCGTTACAAATACAACCTACGTTGGTCTCCCAGGTATGCTATCATTTCTTACTCTAATTTATTTTATTTTTCGAGTATTTATTGCTTATTTAATCTATTTTGAGCGATCTGCATTATCTATCGTCTTATCAAGATGTGTGATGCTCTACTTTAACCATTACAAATCCTTTGATCCCAAAAATAATTCTTAGGATTTTTGTTGTATTTCGTGTTTCATTTACGGGGTAAATTTTTTTCTTTATGTGTATACAAAAGTCTAGTTCTGTTGGAAAAGCACAAGATTATAAATACTTTGATAAAATGATAGGAGATTGGGTTTGATTATGATTCATTTGTTTATTACTATATCGCTGGTTGTATTTGCCTCTAAAGGAAAAATTCAAGCAGCTTGTTTGGTGTTCGATAAAATGTCACATAAAGTATATTGTATTAAGAAGTGGGATATATAACTGACGTGATATCTATAAGTTGTTACTACATTATTGTAACTATTTTTGATCAGTGAAAATCTTTTCAACTGTCTAATTCTCCTTAGGTTCATCAAATCCATGATCCTTCCCCTGTTAAATTTGCTTCTGAAGTGATAACTTTTGAAGTTTCTCTACCAAAAATAATATTTTGCTATGATATTTTGTTACTATCTGACCTTGTATATGAAATCATTTCGAAGATATTCAAAAGTTTAGAGAAAGCGCCTTTTCATTTTTCCATTTTTTGGTGGACATCCACATTTGATGTTGTCCGTATGTAATGCATAAAGCATAAGCTCTCTATTTTTATCTTGCAGGTGGACACGATGGATCTTTAGTTCTTTTATTTTCTTTTCCACAAAGTTCAAAGTTCGTCATTTTAATTTGTAAGTCAAGTAGTTTCAATGTTTGATTAATGCTTTTGCATTATGTTAGAACTTAGATCTGATTTGAGTTGATATATCTGATAAATGTATTGAGAATAAAGATAATTGTGTCCCTTACCTATGATTATGCAGCATTTTCCTAAATCCTGAGTTGACATGTTGGAGAATTTTGTAACTTTTAACTATAAAATCTAATAGTAAAGTTGATGATTTCCGGTGAAGGCTTCTCGCGATAGTTCTGAATACTAGTATATGTACATGCCAGGGTCAGTCAAGCACGAGATATGCATACTTATTTAGCGATGTGTTCACATCTTGGCTTAGTCATACAGATATATTTGAGATTGATTACTGTTTGAAGTAGGGATATGAATTTAATTAATGAGGACGATTATGTCAATTGACTAATGACAAATATAATTTGCCGTAGATGATAAAAGGGGTGAATGTTATGCAGTTAATCTCTTTAACTATTTTTGCCTTCTCCATTAAGTGATAAATCCTTGTATAACAGTAGATTATAGCAACTAGTCACCTTACAGTATAACTCCTCAAACTATTGTCTCTATTTTTGCATCATATACAGTAATTGTCAATGATCAATTAGTTTATGAATGCCACTAGTTATTATAGTTAAATTAGTAAAAAAATCGTACTTTCTTCTTAGGTAATTTTTGTGAAATCATTATATGGATCATATCAACTTCTTTATATGTCTCATAGTCTTCAAAGTTGTTTGCGAAGCTCTCATCAGCTACAACAGGAGACCATCTTCAACCCAATTCCTGAGATATCAGTCTTGTAGAGAAGCAACAATTCGACTTAAACTTTAAGTTAAGGACTTTATACTTGTGTTGCGTCAACATTCTTTACCTTGATTTATTTGTAAAAAATTTATTGCAGACATCAGATTCTAGTAATGGTGAGTGGAGGCAGTGACATCACTCCATTATTGAGAGCTTATTTATATTGCTGGCTCAACAAGCTGCAAGGTACCAAAAGTTCTCCTTGATGCTTTCAAGAAACCAGCGCATCTCGGCATGCTAGACCTTCTCCTTCCCTTTTCAAGAACCACCTATGATGTTTTGTTATTACAGCTACGCATTGAGTCATATGTAACAAGAGAGGTAGAACCTTTGAAAGACAACTAGATGCTCCTAGAAATGCTATAGCTGAAGCCTAATGCTTCAGAAAGACCAGTTTTTGCAATTTTATTTTAGACCAACTAGCTCTGGCTTGAAACAAAAAAAAGAAGAATAAGGAAATGGTGCAGATTCAAAGCAATGACATCCCAACACTGATGACTTCTTCTAGCCGGACTCATGTGGAAGAATGTCGATATGATTATGACGAGATATTTGTTAGACTAAAAATGATATTGGAGTCAAATGGTTTATTCTTTCTCTTATGTTGTCGCCACTTTGAAACCATGGATTAGAAGCTTTTGTTTGTTGTAAATTTAATGAAATAGATCTTTTTCGAATGGATATCGGCGTGGTTTCTTACAAAGTTTTATTTCATTTAAATTTTTTGGGCCGAGTATTAGTATGCTTCAATCAAGTTGAAAAATAAGTGTAATTCTTTAAGTGGCCAAAACAATTAATCTTTTATTGGCAATAAAGTGGAACTTTTTAAGCTATAACTTAATGAAGATAAATAACAGCAAATTTAAAGTAGTTTTAGCTACCATTACAATTGCCACTAAAAGACGTCTGTTATATTGACCATTAATAATAGGTCTTTACCGGCAATAACAAAGGCTGCTAAATCTATGAGTTAGCATATCTCTAGCGTAGTTTTTAGCGGTCATTGGAATCACCGGTTCACAAATACCGCTAAATATAACAGCTATTAGCGGCAATTAATAGTGTCTTTACCAGCTTTCGGCGAAATTGCCGGTAAAAGTTTTAGCGGCAATTGATATTGCCGCTAAAGGAGAATTTTATTGCCGCTAAAGACCATTTTTGTCGTAGTGCTATGGTGTGAACTTTGGTGGCATATGAGTTTATTTGTGAAAAAGCGAATTCTTTCGATATATGAGTCCTTAAATTATGCTCGATATCTATCTTACTTATCCCTTAGCCTGCATTGCATCCGTAAACACCTAACTGATCCTAGACTTTATGAGTTTAAATTAGTAGAGACTAACACGGCGAACAAGCCTGTGGTGTGAACTTTGGTGGCATATGAGTTTCTTTGCGAGAATGAGTGAATTCTTTCGATATATGAGTCCTTAAATTATGCTCGATATATATCTTACTCATCCCTTAGCCTACATTGCACTCGTAAACACCTAACTGATCCTACACTTTACGAGCTTAAATTAGTAGAGACTAACACAGCGAACAAGCCTATGGTGTGAACTTTGGTGGCATATGAGTTTCTTTGCGAGAATGAGCGAATATTTTCGATATATGAGTCCTTAAATTATGCTCGATATATATCTTACTCATCCCTTAGCCTACATTGCACTCGTAAACACCTAACTGATCCTACACTTTACGAGCTTAAATTAGTAGAGACTAACACAGCGAACAAGCCTATGGTGTGAACTTTGGTGGCATATGAGTTTCTTTGCGAGAATGAGCGAATATTTTCGATATATGAGTCCTTAAATTATGCTCGAATACATATCTGATTGTGCAGACTTATTACTATCTTTGGTGTGTAGTTGGGGGCACATGATTTGCGACGGATTAGTAAGGTCCTCGGATCTTTGGTTGGTACAAGAAGCGAGTCATAGAAAGGAATGTATTGGAGTAACCTTTGAGGCTATGATGTAAGAAAAAGCCACCCAAATATTTTAAATAGTTTTGGCATGAGTCTAAACTTGAGGAAATATGTTTATAGGTCGTATGTTGGTCCTAACCATTAATATAAACTTCTGTCATTGGTGTGATAATTAAGTAAGTTTGAATTGTATTACCTGCCTATGTGTTTAATTTTATGTGCTCAAGGACAACCAAGAGTTTAAGTGTGGGGTGGTGATAAATCTTGAAAAGTGCATATTTTTAATGTGTTTGCGTAGAGTTGCGGGAGATCACATTATTTTTAATGTGAAATATACTCATTACGTATTTATTATATGTAGGAACGATATTGTGCGGAAGAGGATAAAAAGGGAGAAAAGTTGACAAAAAAAAGAGCTGGAAGAGTAGAATCCCTGACAGAGAAGCATGGTTCATTGCTCTAGACCAGGACCAAAGCAAGAAAAACAGAATGCTAGGAGCAATCTGGGTCTCACGAGACGCGCGGATTGTGGACGCGGCTCTAGCTTCTCCTATCCAAAATAGGAGATGCCAAGTCTGCCACATACAAACCCTAATTGATATAAGCACACTCTAAAATGACTTTTTGTGGAGACACTATACTTTTGGAGGCAAAAATACAATAGGAGCAAGGCAAAAGATTCGGCAACGAGCTTTTCCTTTCTTCTTCCTATTTTTCATTGTTGGTTATGAATTTTAGTATTGTAGTTTTACATACCATTATAAATAGCTAATTTCTTATCCAGTATTTGATTGAACCTTTTGTAGGATGAATTTTTGTTACGTTTTAATATAATTTAGCCTTTGAATTTCTCTACTTGTTTAACTACATGCTTATTTCAATTGATTGAATGGTCATCGATTAACTGTGCATATTTATTATGTGTTGCCCGAGAGAGATTGCATATTTAGGTAGTTGTTGAATAACATCACTCCCTAGGTATATGATAGATCAATACGGTGGGATTAAAAGCAGGATTAGAGATAACAAAGCTTTGGTATAGTCATATGAGCTGTGAGAAATTGCCAGCTAGAGTAATTCGAGAGAATACGTCGAGTAGATTATTGTAATTGCTCGAGAGCGAATTACGAAAAATTGAATGCTCATGATCAGTAGAGAATAAATCAGTGAGATTATAAATAACATAGCGAGACGGATTCCGACAATTGGAAAAATCATAACTCTAGGCCTCCTTAATCTTATCTCCAACCCTTAGTATCTTTAGTTGATAATTTTTATTGCTTTAATATTTGTTAGTTAATTAGTTAAAAATGAAATCTTAACCTTTATAATTCGAAAATTGTTTAAACTTATCTTCTTAGTGATAGCGAATAATTGTAGTTAACTTTAATTCTTTGTGAAATTCGATTTCGAACTCTTAGACCGAATTATATTTGTAGCGGGCGCTTAGTCTTTTTTATAAGCCCAACTATGATCATTCAACATGACCCTCATTTTGTCTCAATTTTGAATGCATCTAAAAACCAGAAGATAAAACTTGATTGCAACGCATTGACTACAGAATGTGCATTTCATCGGTATTTTGTCAAAGTAAATTAAAAAATTTCGACGCTCTTTCCCTTTCTATTTGTTCTAAAAGGATTGGTCCATTTTTATATCTGAAAATATTTAATATTTTCATTTCCATTCACCTTTAATGCTACCAGTTGAACAGAAAAGCAAGTAATTTAGCACAAAGTAAGCTTTTGATATTTAATGTACACGTGAGTTATGTGTAAAGGTTTTCTTTACTTAAAACCCAAAGCAAAGAGAACAGAAGCGAAGCAAATTATTGTTGATCCGATCTTAGCTCAGTTGGTAGATCCTGCACCTAATCTAGGTCACTGGTTCGAATCCTATAGGTCGGATATTATCTTTTAATTTTTCTCTATTTTTTTCCCCACCGAAAATAATAATCTTCTTATCTCAAAACAGACGAATTACCAAATGTTTGCGACAAAGAAATAAAAGAGAAGAATTAGCTTTAGAATAAAAGCTGGAGTTCACTTTTCGTTCTTTTCTTGGGAGAAAGAAAAGGGGAAGTGCCAAAGTCTAACAGAATTCCAACTTAGAGCTAAAGAAAGGACAAAAGAAAGAGTACAAAAATCGCTTCAAAGAGTTTAAAGTTGAGACACTCTACTTTAAATTCAATTCCCAACTGGCTTATTATGCTCAGCTCCGTAGTAGTTTTGATACTCCGCTTCTTCTATTGGTTCAAATGAAGTGCTCAACAACAAAAAAGAAAATGATTTGTTTTCTTCAGTGATTGATATTCTTCTATATATTCTTGAATCAGAAACACAAACATGTGTTGTTGATGCAAATCGCATCAATGTTAATCATTTCTATGGCCATGCACTTTGGACTAACTAACTGAAAAACATTCCGCATAAAAATTGCATTGCACGTTAGAAATGTTATGCAGCTTAAAAGGAGCAACAAATATTTTCATCATCATCAGTTCAAAAAAGTTTGCAACACCAGGGCAGTAGCTGAATTTCCAACTTCCCCCAATAATAGTGATGATTTCTCATTCTAGTTCCATAACGCAGAGGACCTTAAAGCTTTTACACTCTTTAGGTGAAAAGAAGAGCTAAGTGACTGCCGCTACAAGAGCTTCAATCCACCAGTTATGTCGTCAACTAAATCAGCCGGTCCTGCACATGCATAGCCACAACACAATCAGATTGAGACTCCATGTATAAATTGTTTAATACCCCGTGGGTTATTATTAAGGATTGGGAAACTTACCAAGTACAGCCATCACTGTCCTCGAGTCTGCAGGTAAAAAAGAGGGAAAGACAATAAGCAACTTTGCTGGAGCAAATTAAAAGCAGACAAGGCAATGTAAATGGTAAAACGTACTTGAAGTTATAAAACAAATTCATTGCTATTCGAAGGTTTGGCATTACTTTAGCTATATTGATACTAAAGAGTAGATACAAACATTATTTTTCCCAACACTTAGTACCAGTGTTGTGAACAGCGCTCACTTCAGCACTCAAAGCGCGAAGCGGGACCTCGGGCGCTTCTGTGATGTGAAGCGTAGCAGGTTGAGTAAAGTGAGCGCTTCTGCAAAAAAAAGCAAAAAGCGTAAAAGCGACAATAGCGACAGAAGCGAGCGCTTCTATATATTAAGGCTGCCAACGTTAAAAATTAAAAAAACTCTTTTTTTAAAAGACCATCGAGCAGCAGAGAACAACAGGCGACTAGGGTTCCCATTTTTCGCACTTTTCAACTTCAAGTTCATCAAGTTCAAGCCTAGGTATGTGATTTCTTCCTCTTCCTCCTCCTTCTTCTTCTTTTCTTTTTCTTTCACTGTTTCAGTCCCAAAATAGCAGCGAAATGCTGGCAAATTTTTTTTTCCCCCTTCAGTTCTTCTTTTTCTCATTCTCATTCTCTTCCTCTTCTTCTTATTCTTCTTCTTCATTTTCTTTCACTGTTTCAGTGATAAATTGCAGCGAAATGCTACCCAATTTTTTTCCGCCATTTTTTTTGTATACTTACTGCCATTTTTTTCATTTCGTTTATTCTTAGTTCTTATTGCCATTTTTATGTGTTATTCAGTTGTTCTTTTAATGGCACGATAGGAAAAACCCGATTTGGGCTTATTCTATAAGAGTTAACGAGACGAACAAGATGGCAATTAGATGTCTTTTTTGTGACAAGATATCAAATGGGGGAATCTATTGTCAAAAATTTCACCTAATCGGTGGTGATCCAAATGCCGCATCTTGACATAAAGTTCCGCCGCATGTGAAGGAAGAAATGAAAGCACCTTCAAAAAAAAAAAAGAGAGTTAAAGACTCAAATGCATCATGAACAAGAACAACTGCATAATCTTGATGATGACAATGATGAAATAGAAGGTGACAATGGTTCGTCACTTCCATTAAAATCACAAAAGCGGGGAAGGATACAAACTATGTCTTCAAGTTGTGGATCTACTAGTAAGACTAAAGTACCTATGGATTATTAGTTCTCGCAAAAACCAGGAGATATGGGAGGGAAAAGTGGTAATCGTCAAAAATTGACGCCAAAGCGATTTTGAGGGATAGTGCAGTTGCAATATTTGTGCGGCGGATGTATGATGCAGGTCTTCCTTTTAATTGTGTTAATTATACTGACACTTTTTCTGCTTTTATTGAGGTCGTATGCCAATATGGTCCAGGAATGAAGTCTCCAACTTATCATGAAGTTAGAAGTCCATATCTAAAAAAGAGGTGGAAGAGACGAACAAAATCGTGGAGGAGCACAAAGTAGAATGGAACAAGTTTGGTTGTTCCATTATGATGGATAAGTGGAACGCAAGAAATGTAAAAATAATCATCAATATCTTCGTGAATTCTCCTAAGGGAAGCTTGTTTCTTGAGTCCGTTGATGCAAGCAACTCTTCTACTGATTCAACCAAAATGTACTCCTTGTTCAAGAGTACAATAGACTCTATTGGAGCAAAAAATATTGTTCAAGTTGTCACAGATAACGCAGTGAAAATGTTAAAGCTGGTGATTTGATGTCTATAGGGTACCCGCATATTTATTGGACTCCGTGTGCAGCACATTGCATTAATTTGATCTTCACAGATATTTCAAGGAAAGACCTTTCAGTTCAGTCTTTAATCAGGCAATTAGAGTGCATTTCTATATTGTTCAAAGGCCTTTGTTATTGAATATGATGAAGAGATTCACTAAACAAAAAAGCTTGATGAAACCTGCAAAGACAAGATTTGCTACTGCTTTCTTGACTTTGAATAGGATGTATGAGCAAAAAAGCAATTTGAAGAAGTTGTTTGTTTCAGATGAGTACACTAACAGTGCCTATGGAAGGGAAGCTCGAGGGAGAGAATCTGCAGATATTATGCTTTCTAATGCATTCTAGAATAATGTGGTTCATACATTGAAGATTGGTGGTCCTTTAGTTAAAGTGCTTCGTTTGGTGGATGGGGAGCAAAGACCACCAATGGGCTACCTTTACGAAGCAATGGATAGGGCAAAGGAAGCTATTCGAGACTCTTTTAGTGATAAAAAAAATATAAAAGAGTCCTTGAGATCATAGATAAAAGGTGGACAAATTAGATTCATCGCCCTTTGCATGCAGCTGGACTTGTTTTGAACCCGGAACTATTTTATGACAACGAAGAGAGGATTATAGGAGATGAAGAATTGTGGAATGGATACATTGAATGTATTGAGAAGTTGATACTTAAAGAATCCGCGCAAGATAAAATAATAATGCAATTTAGTACTTATAGGAATGCTGAGCAACTTTTTGGAAAAAACATGGCTATTATACAAAGAAAGATGAAGTCACCAGGTGAGCGAGTGCTTATATGTTGCTTTATAGTTAATAAGTTATTTTTTTATAAATATTATGTTTTGAATATTTGTTCTACTTCTACAGTTGAATGGTGGAAGCAATATGGCCCATTCCACTCCAAAATTACAAAAGTTTGCCATCAAAGTTGCAAGTCTAACGTGTAGCTCATCCGTGTGTGAAAGGAATTGGAGCGTGTTTGAACATGTAAGAACTAAGAAGAAAGATTTTTCGAGATAATTAAATTATATCTCAAATGTCCTAATCTTACTAATTATTTATTATTTGCAGATTCATACCAAAAAGAGGAACAAACTAACCTTGAAGTGTCTCAATGATCTAGTCTTCATTAAGTACAATAGAACATTGAGGCGTCGTTACAACGCTCGCAATATAATTGATCCAATAAGTTTGGACAACATCGATGATGCTAATGAATGGCTAACTGGAGTCCCGGAAGATCATGTAGATGAAGAAGTATTTGAGGAAACTTCTAATTTCACTTGGGATGATGTTGCGGAGGCACGTGGAATTGGGGAGAAGATTTATGGTTTTAGGGGGAGTACTTCAACTTCAAGCTCACAAAGGAAGGGAAAAGAAGCAGCTACTTTGTCCCTAGTTGATGAAGAAGAAGAAGACGACGAGCAATATAATGATAGTAGAATACAAGAATTTGACAGTCTTGTACAAGAATCGAATGCTCATTTTGTGCTTTAGGTGATGCTATTCTTTAGTTTTTACATTGAAGTATAAAACATTTGCTTACAATTACATGTGTTATCTATGCAGTATTTATTTTAATTTTTTTTTTTTAAATTCCGCTTCACTTCAAAAAAGCGAGCGCTTCGCTTCTCACTTCTCGCTTTAAGCGAAAAGGGGCTTGTCGTTTTTCCTCGCTTCACGCTCTTCACAACACTGCTTAGTACAACAAGGAGTTTTGAACAAAAAGTGATTAGTTTTGGAAAACTTCAGCATCATTTCTTGGAAAATAGATACCGTAAATGGTGGAGGTTGATGTTCTCCATGGTTGTCAGCATTACTGCTCTCTAATGGTCAAACTTCAGCATCATTTCAATGGTAAGCAAAATCCCCTGTTTAGGCAGTTATAACACCTTATTGCTCCGACAAACATTCGTGCGTGTAAACTGTTCTATTCAGGTTATTATAACTGATCCTAGTAGTCATAACTCCTAAGGTCTCCATATGTGACGTAAGTCTTTTTACCACCTAGCATTGTTACGTTATATATCTGTAAGATACTGCTAACAAAGAAAAATATATCTATAACAGCTAAGGAAGGACATTTATACTCAAATAATTTGTGCCCTCCAATAACAATACTGAATATCTGTGGATTTTTTTTAATAACCGTGGTGTCAGAGCCAGCACGTCGACTAATTCTACGGGATGCCACCTCCCACTAGCAACATGTACCAGGTAACTCTGTCCATCAAGGCTTGTCCATCAAGGCTTGGACAGATGAGAAGAAATCACCTAATGCTAACCTCCTAATGCTAACCTGAGACCTCATGGATCCCCCCACTTCATATCACTAGGCCACACTCTTGGGTGCACTGAATATCTGTGTTTTTCTAATTAATATAGACAAGAACACACTGTCTATAACCACAAATTGCCATCCTTCATTGCTACTATCCACCACCAGAAGATGAAGTTGTGTTGCGATAAACATGCACCTAGGAAGTTATGATGTACAAGGCAAAGCCATCACATCACTAGCTGCTGGAAACCGTACCAACCATCTATTTTCAACCTTTCATGTTTATGTACGCTTTTTTATTTATTTATAATGGTAACATCCTTTCATGTTCACGTTATTCTGAAAAGCAATTAACAAGCTCTTTCCGCATAGACCAGATGAACTGAAACCAAGACAACTTCACTATCTAACCATAAAGAGAGGATGACGGAGATCAATAAAGCAAGAGACATGTTAACATGCCAGGGAGGAGGCCATAGTTTAGTGGCAGAATGCCAATAGTGAAGTTCAACTTAAGGGTGTTTCTTGATTCTCCTTTCATCATGAAAGCAAGTATAACACTTTTCTTTTGGGGAAAAAAAGAAGAAAGAAGATGGGCAAAAGTGGAGAAGAAGCTGCAGAAGCTCTTCATATAACAGTCATAAACCTACTGATTAGGAATCATGCATAAAAGCAAACATGTTGAATAGATTCACTTAAATTTTAAGTATCAACATAGTCATTTGTTGTAGACTTGGAATACCAAGCTCCACTAACAACTCAGGAAATCCAAGAAGGTGTGCGGAAAGATGCAACAATGAAAGCCTTATGCACTAGGTCATCAATCATCATTGCTAATCACGTTCCAAGTATGTTCATGCGGGCAAGATAAAAAATGGTCTATCAAATTCACTCAAAAGCAAACAACATCATGAAAGAGGCGATTATGTCTCTAACTCACTTGGCGCAATTTGTGTTCTCCCAGCATCAATTGTAATATGTGTTGGTATATTAAGTGATTTTGCCCTTTCCTGTGAGCAAAATGAGAAATTCAGAGAGCAACCAACCAGAACAGGATAAAAAGTTACATTTAGTAAATTAAAACAAGTATGTCTAAACAAAGAACAGAACATAAGGTATTCGAAAGGCTGCAGATAATGGGCTGATTAATTTACGAGGAGGTTTCCATAAATTACACTAAGAAGAACTAAACTCTAATTGTGGAAGCAAACTCTAATTGTAGGTTTAACAGGGACTTATTGGGCTCATTTTTATTTAATGAGGCCCAATTGGCATCATCAGTCCAAAATATTTTACCACCCTCAGATAAATCAGATAAAGTGCAAGGAAACTCTGCGGGCTCGTTTTTATTTAACGAGGCCCAATTGCTATCATCAGTCCAAAACATTATGTCGTCCTCAAATAATTTGGACCCATTATTTGTGGAAATTGAGGCAAATACTTTTGGTCCTTCACGAAGTTCTACAGTAGATGTGAACAAAGGAGGAATCTCTCCTTCCCAATTTCAAGCTACAAAGCAAATTGTAATCCACGAAGACGTTGATGACTATGAAGATGCCATGACCAACATTGACGGTGAGTGTACACAATTTGACACTGCGGGAGATAGAGGTGACATGTAGATAATCGATCCCATGGAGACTGAACTTTGGTCAGTTGAGGAAGCAGTAAGCACAACCTCTTGAAATTCAAGAGCAAGAAGAGGAGATAGATGGGGAGATGGATGCATCTTTATGGGTCCATCAAAATGTAATGAAACTAAGCAAGCAATTTGGAATTAACTTCCAAGGATGTGAAAAGGACGCTTTGGCACTTTTCATGAAAATCGACATATGCAGGCAATTTAAAAGACAAGAAGAGAACACCATTCCCATGGAAACACCCAAGAGAAAAGGCAATAATGAATTGAAAAGTCTGGTCATTGATATGAAATTTAAAAGCATTGGTGCTAGGAATAGGGGGAAAGAAATTCCAATTGTGGATCAATGAATATCAAGATTATATCTTGGAATGTGAGGGGATTGAATCGTAGAGCTAAGAGGGGGGTGGTTGGCAGCTTGATCACCGAATGGAAAGCTTATGTTTATTGCTTTCAGGAAACAAAACTAGAGGGAGATATAGAGGAGATGGTTAAACAATTATGGGGTAACAGGGGAATAAAGTATGAGCAATTGGAGGCTAGTGGTACTAGAGGGGGTATTATAATGCTGTGGGACAATAAAGTTTGGAAGGGGGAGGTGATAGCTACCGGGTCTTACTCTTTGACATGTAGGTTTGAGTCATTAACCCAAGATTTCAACTGGCACATGACGGGAGTTTATGCTCCAAATTGTGTCAACGAAAGACAAGAAGTGTGGTGGGAGATTGGGGCTGCTAGGGGTCTATTTATTGGACCTTGGGTGGTTGCTGGGGATTTCAATATAATCAAATTTCCTTATGAAAAAAGGAATTGCACTAGAGTTACTAGAGCAATGACAGAATTTTCAGATTTCATTGAAGACATGGAGTTGGTTGATCTTCAGTTGGAAGCGGAAATTACACATGGGCTAGTGGGAGCAGAGACATCATCTAGAATTGACAGATTCCTCATATCAGTGGAATGGAATGATTGCTTCAGAAACATCAAGCAGGAAATTCTCCCCAGAGTGTGTTCAGATCATACCCCTTTAATTTTACAATGTGGTAACTGGGAGCAAACAAAATCCTACTTCAAGTTTGAGAATTGGTGGCTGGAAACCGAAGGGTTCAATGATAGAGTTCAAAATTGGTGGACATCATTTGAAATAGAAGGAAGACCATATTATATTCTTGCTTGTAAACTCAAAGCTCTCAAAGGAAAACTAAAAGAGTGGAGTAATTGTAATTTTGGTAATCTAGAGAGGGAGAAAAATCATATTCTTAATCAAATCACTATGCTGGATATTATTCAGCAACAAAGGAACCTTAATCAAGAGGAGAAGGCCAGGAAAGCAAGGCTCTTCATGGAATTTGAAGAGTATGCCAGAAGGGAAAAAATTGCGTAGAGACAAAGATCTAGAGCACTTTGGCTCAAACAGGGAGATAAGAATACCAAGTTCTTTCAAAGAGTTGCAAATGCACACAAAAGAAGCAATAACATTGATAAGCTGGTAGTGGAAGTGGAGAACATTGAGGAACCAGAAGCCATTAAAAAAGAGATAGTTGACTTTTATCTGAAATTGTACTCTAAAACTGAGGTCTGGAGACGTACCTGCAGTATGACTAATTGCCCTACTATCTCTGTAGAAGAACAACAAGTGATGCAAAACCCTTTTGAGGAGGAAGAGGTCCTACGATGCCTGAAATTATGTGCAGCAGACAAAGCCCTGGGCCAGATGGATACACTATGGGTTTTTTCATCAAATGCTGGGAGGTGATCTGTCACGACCCAAACCGATGGGCCGCGACGGGCACCCGGTACCTTACTCAACCGAGTACCTACGTAACGTATCTTTTCATGTCATACTATCATAGATAACTGAGCCGGAAGACTGTCGTGAGCTAAGTAGAATATAACATGTAATACCAACTTATACATAAGACATACGGGCCTATAAGACCAAAATAACCACTCGTACACTAAACATAGGCCGACAAGGCCATACAATCTTTTACGTACATGATATCTGTCTACAAGCCTCTAAGAATACGAAATTTTCATAAAGGTCGGGACAGAGTCCAGCCATACCAAACAATACACGTCTAAATCATACTAACCAAACAAGCAACTCCGAAGCAAATGGAGCGCACCAACATCTTGCGCTGAGCTGATAGCCTACCTGGAGGGCTCTCGACCTGTCTATCGGGACCTGCGGGCATGAAACGCAGTATCCCCAGGCAAAAGGGACGTCAGTACAAATAATGTACCGAGTATGTAAGGAACGAAAATCAATAAATAATAGACATGAGAGAAACATGGAGTAAAAGACTCGACATGTATGTCTGCATCGCTCTGTGAATTATTTCATTTTTATAATGCCATGCATATGCGTATAAATGTCATACCATGCATAGGTATATGCGTTCATAACATCATCAAGCCTCTGAGGGCATCCCATCATATCATTTCGGCCACTGTGGGCAAATCATCAATGTATACCAGCTGATCGGGTGGTGGTGCGTATATAACGCCGTAACCTTTTCCCATATCCCATATATATATTATACATATATACGCGTATATAACGTCACCTGGTCATGGGTAAATGTAAATGAATGCAATGCATGAGAAGTATGTCAATAAAATCTTTCGGAGTGTCATAAGACCATTATGCCTTTGATTAATATCAAGGAAAAAACTTTATCAAGTTACGTATTTTCTGAGACCCATGAACAGATGATAGAATAATATGACACATGGGGAATCAAGAACATAAGCATCTCTAATATTTCTATGAATAGAGTCATGTATGGAAATTGTGCATTTGCTCGTTTCGTTTGTGTCGTATAGATCATGCCAAAAGAAAAAAGGGATAGCCTTAACATACCTGAACCGATTCGCTTGACAATCCCTCTAACACGTGTCAATTGCGACAACACGTAATGGCGGATTGAAGTAAGAACAAATCCGTATAATATTCTTGAGAAAGATTGCACCGTACTCATGGGCTGCCACATGGGGGCCTTTGTCCCCACTTATTAATTATCCACAAATTCTTAATTACATGGTTAATCTCCCATTAAACCAATAATTAACCAATTACCCACATAATTAAGAATTATCTCAAATTACTTAGAATACTACTCCCTTTTAACACACCTTATACACCTTACTATCAAGGTCATGTGGTACCTTGTATGGTACTAATCCATAAATACCGGGGATTTTAGCTCGGGCCATATTTTATCCCAAAATGTCAAACTTCGACGAATTTCATTTCCTTCGATTCGCTTACCCTTTCACCTTCACGAATTTACTTATCACTTGTTTGAAATAGCATAATACTTATAATCCCCAAATAATCTCATTCCCGAACTTACGTCGATTAACTTACGACGAAACTTTAACGTACGAGAATACGGGATGTAATATCTCATTTCCGAACTTTCATCAATTTACTTATGGCATACTTTTACGTACGAAAGCGTGTGGTGTAACATCATTCCCCCCTTTGGAACATTCGTCCTCGAATGTTGGCTGATGCACTTATCATTTTCATTACCTATGTCTTCTGAATACTTTGGTACTCCTCTTGCCATCTAGGCAACTGTTCTGTGAATGGATCCCAAAGGCCAGGACATTCCCCCTTTAGGCCTCTTTTTCACACCACGACTTGTGGTCGGAATTCTTCCAATCTCGCAACTGTTGCTACCTTTTGTCATAGATCTGTTTATCCATCCATATAACTTTACTGCCATAATTCTTACTTTGATTTATCGTTACTGAGGTCTGCTACCGAATTCCAGGTTATTTTCGTTGCTTATCCCATATGTATAAATCTAAGTCCTTTAATGCTTCCTCATTACTGTTCATCTTAAGAATGGCGGCCTAATATCATCTCATACTTTGTGACTTTTGTCCATCCATTGTTGATTCACATCAATATTAATCTACAATATACCACTGATAACTTGATCTCTTATGTAACACTGCCACTAGGGCTCACGTCTCATCGGGGACATCTGGAGTAATTAGCGCCTAGGGGCGATACTATACTTCCATAACCATGATAGTATCCCCATGTGATTTACCTTGCGTGGGTATTTTAATCTTGTACATTTCATGAAATCGTTACTCAATCGAAGGCCCAAACGTCATCCTTTATCTATCACAATTACACCCTCATTCTACTAGCAGGGTAGCATTCCATCTCTGCTAAATGCTACTAGTCTTAGACTCCTTTGAGTTTATTCAGGCTATACTCAGCTTTCTATAACTTGGAGAAACCATTATCTCTCTTGTTTTCATAGGCTTAATCCTGAGGACTTATACATTTCTTGTCACCTCCCCACTCGCCCTTTCTTATCCTTACTCCTGTCATAAAACCTTGTCGCTTTACTATACTTTAGCTTGCGACCGATACATATACTACTCGCAACCTCTCTTCAACTTGCTTGCACCATAGATTTCCTTATGCTATTCTGGAACATCAAGCGAGACATCACATCGTCTCCAACTTTTCTTTACTCCCTTGGCTAGATCTCTCGGTACCTAGAAACCATAGGCTGGAAGATATGCCGCTGACGATGCCGCTATCATTCCTGGATATTGAATCCCCGCGCTTCTAGCCTTCTATCCGAAGTATGGACTATTAACAACCTTTTGCATTTGAGTATCTCGTACGTTATTCACCTTTACCTTACTAACTTTAAAGTCTCGCATCATATCTTCTATCTCTTTCATGACCTCCCTTTCACCTAGGTATAACTCACATCCACAACTTGAACTTCTATTATAATATTTGCACCTCTTTACATGATTCGGTGAGAGCTTTATACTGACTTCTTATGAGGCTGGTACTCTTCTAATTGGATTTATCCTAGCATATGGTTGTTGTACTATCTCTCTTGTACCTCTGATATTAAGAGTAATTCTGCAATATTCTCAATCACGATTTCTATAATTTTCTGGGTCCAATAATCAGACTCCTAATTTACTTCGTTGATGTAACTCTTTAATTTCCTCTTTCTTCTGATCAACCTTTATGTAGGCTTAAGCTATCTTCCGATCTGCGGCTCATGGTATTACTTTAGCCCTTCATGGATGCTTTGGAATATTCAGGATACAATCTTCTAATTAATTCAATCCTTTGTCTATGACCTGGACTCAATTCTTTCTTTTAACTTGTACCGGAGTCTTTTACGACTATATGATTGTCAACATATATGTTGCATGGATAATACTCCAAAATCTTAAGTACGTTCATAACGTAACTAACTCTGGATCATTTATCGAATAATTCCTTTTGCTCCTTCTCAACTTTCCTTAAATGAGAGCAATTGCCTTTCCTGGTCGTTCTGCCACTTGTTGCATGAATACTTGGCTTATCTTAGTGCCCACACATGCCGGAATTTTTTTCTTTTTTCTTTTGTGCAACTCATATGATTTTGACCATTACTTTTGGTTTCACTTCCCGCTCATTAGCCACGATAGGTGCCGGACCACTTTCTTATGGAGTGCATACAATGTTGTAGTGAGACTGCTATTAGAAGACCATTCCTTCTTCTAGTTACTATGTTTAGGTTGAAGTTTTTTTTCTTATTTCCTCAACTCGTCTTACATTGTAGTACTTAGGGAGGACCTTCTGGCTCTTGTAAAGTTACAAGCTTGTTATATTGCTTACCCGACAGAATTTTTGATGTTCATACTTACCTATATTTATCCTTTTTTACTTACCTCCATACTCATGTGCTCGTACGGTTGCTTCTGAACTGAAGTTTTGACTGTCTTCCCAGTGGGACTCTCTTTTATTTCCATAACACTCATACGGTATCTTTAACTACCCCAACCCCTATCTGAGTATTTCTCAAGGTCATGATGTCATATCTGTGAGACTGAATTTCCCATATTGGGGTTCATTCTGTTTATCTTGCACGATCTATTGATTTGTCTGTATCCTCTTGTCTAGCCATAACTAGGCCCTTCCTGAATCAACTACTAACTACTCGTTGGCCCATTCTCATATCAATATTCTGCGTAATCTTTCTTGGATCATTTCCTTTGTCTTAACTTATTCCTCGCACTGGCTCCTTATCTATCAATAACATCTCGGGCAGGGACCCTTACTTCCTCTCCTTGACGTCGTATTTGCTTAATGTTCTGGAATTGCAGCATACCTGTAGGATTTGGATAAGTGCAATCTTATCCCTTTCTTAGTCTTATCGCATTCTTCCTTTATTATTCCATAGTTACTACAACCACTTAATTCCGACTTAATGTCACATCACTCCATATTCCCCCCTTTAGGGAAGCACTAATATTTAGCGCTACGATGATCTACGTATAGATGTTTTACCTCTTTGGCATCTTCTCACATCATCGATGACTCTTACCCGTCTTGCGGTAATCCTTCTGCACTAAGGATCACAAAATTCCTTACTTACGAGGGTGACACTTAGTGTAACTGGCACACTTAGTCCTTTAAGCTTAACTTTGCTCACGTTGTTTGCTTTGGGAAAGCGTCTTCCTGAATGACCTTTAAGGGTTATTCTTCTGTCGTCCATTCTTTTATCGTCGGAACGCAATCTGAAATTCTCATGGTGCCGACTATTATCAAATTACTCAGTTCCTAATTCATGTTTAGTTTACCTTGTTTACTAGCCCATACTGATTTCTTATTACTTTGGGGTCTAACTTTTCCTTCTGGTAATCACGTTAGAGTCGCGAACTTTTTTTTTTGAAATGAGGATATGACTTTATGGCCTATACTCTCTTGTTGTCTCAAGGCCTGTCACTTCTCGTCTTTTCCTTCACTTGACTAGACTCTGTAATACTGTCACTTTTTTTTTTGATCTACCGTTGTCATCCATGTATCACATCTTACTCATAATGATTCATTAACTCTCTTCTTATTTCCCGCTAACATTTGTGTCTATTACTTTATTCTGAAAACTGGAACAAGACATTCTTTTGCTTTTAGCTCCTCTTGACCCATCCATTGGCTCTTCGAATTGCCTAACATTCTTTCCCCACTAGGGACGGGAGCCACACTAAGGTAATATTTATCCCTTCAAGGCTTCCAGTGCCTATTTTTGTAGTACTCATATCTAGCTGTACTATTTTAGAGCGCACCATCTGGGTGTCTCACAAGGAGATCTATTAGCACATTTGCAATATCCTTCGGAAAAGTCAACTAACGCAAACAATCCATCCACCATTTTGGGTCACTCTAACCCCAGCCGGATCCTGATATCCGTCCTTCTCTTATGCTACTTCGGTTAGCCCCATAGGGCATAAATGAAATGGGTGTGGCCAATTGTACATACCTCTGTTACTGTTGAAGGTAACTCACAATACTTATATTTTTCTGTCTGAGTTGTAAATACCGATAATCTTCATTAACTGGTACCTCGTACCCTTCTCATCTTGTTCCTTTTACTTGTTAAAGCTTGTATCTACCTTCTGAATCTCTCGTTGCTTTTTTTTACCATATGGGTGGATAGATATTCTTGTCTTAAGGCTACTTATTAAGAAGCTTATACCTTTTAGTACACACATGATATGCTGAAGACCTCACATTGACTCATCATAAGCATCATGCAGAATCGATTTCCTCTAGCTCAACTCCTCCATAGCCACATGCAATCTTTTACCAATCGTCTTTCTGGATGTAGGCATCGTCGTATTATGAATAAGACAGAGTTTAGGAAATTGAGTTCTTACAACTGAGCTCTACCACACGATCTAGAGTAAGAAGAAAGAGTGACAGTCCTAAATGCCTTGTAGCCTCCTGCTTATAAGTGTGGTGCACGACACACCCATAAACAAGACTCTACTAGACACGGCTTGTAGACTCCCTAGAACAGAACTGCTCTAATAACACTTTTGTCACGACCCATACCGATGGGCCGCGACGGGCACCCGGTACCTTACTCAACCGAGTACCTACGTAACGTATTTTTTCATGTCATACTATCAAAGATAACTGAGCCGGAAGGCTGTCGTGAGCTAAGTAGAATACAACATGTAATACCAACTTATACATAAGACATACGGGCCTATAAGACCAAAATAACCACTCGTACACTAAACATAGGCCGACAAGGCCATACAATCTTTTACGTACATGACATCTGTCTACAAACCTCTAAGAATACGAAATTTTCATAAAGGTCGGGACAGAGTCCCGCCATAAACAAAGCACGTCTAAATCATACTAACCAAACAAGCAACTCCGAAGCAAATGGAGCGCACCAACATCTTGTGTTGGCTGATAGCCTACTTGGAGGGATCTCGACCTGTCTATCGGGATCTGCGGGCATGAAACGCAGTATCCCCAGGCAAAAGAGACGTCAGTGCAAATAAGTACAAATAGCCTTAACATAACTGAACCGATTCGCTTGACAATCCCTCTAACACGCGTCAATTGCGACAACACGTAATTGCGGATCGAAGTAGAAAAAAATCCGTATGATATTCTTGAGAAAGATTGCACTGTACTCCCTTAGAATCGCAAAATCCCGTTGCTATTAAGCGGTGTAACTTCGTATGATAGTCTCTGAAGCAAATAACGTTGCCTGAAGCTCTGGTGGTGATATCTGTAAATATCATATACAAGATCCTTAAAACCAATTCTCAACAACTTACCAGATTTATCCTTTGGAGACGAATTGCCGCAGGTGTTTTGCATGAAGGAACATCCGATGTTTGATAAAGAAGGGAATGAGGTTATCGGGATGCTAAAGAAGAGCTTGAAATTGAACCGAATGAAGATGAACCCCCATTCTTGAAAGACCAGAGTTGTAACTTAGTTGATATTTCTTGTTAAAATTTAGAAAATTCCCCAAGAATAGACAAAGAACCAAAGTGACCCAATGATACGTGGATATTCAGTTTGAGGTTTTGAGCCACATATATTCTTCTTAAAAAAGACACCTTTCTTCGTATCATATTAGTCACTTGGTGGCTTTATTAACCATTTCATGGGCTGCCACGTAGGGGCCTTTGTCCCCACTTATTAATTATTCACAAATCCTTAATTACATGGTTAATCTCCCATTAAACCAATAATTAACCAATTACCCACATAATTAAGAATTATCTCAAATTACTGAGAATACTACTCCCTTTTAACACACCTTATACACCTTACTATCATGGTCATGTGGTACCTTGTATGGTACTAGTCCGGGCCATATTTTATCCCAAAATGTCAAACTTCGACGAAATTCATTTCTTTCGATTCGCTTACCCTTTCACCTTCACGAATTTACTTATCACTTGTTTAAAATAGCGTAATACTTATAATCCCAAAATAATCTCATTCCCAAACTTGCGTCGATTAACTTACGACGAAACTTTAACGTACGAGAATACAGGATGTAACATCTCATTTCCGAACTTTCATCAATTTACTTATGGCGTACTTTTACGTACGAAAACGTGGGGTGTAACATGATCAAGTCAGACATTATGGCAATTGTTCAAAATTTTCATTCGCATGAAATTTTTGAGAAAAGTTTTAATGCCACGTACGTGACTCTGATTCCTAACAAGACTAGAGCAAAAAAGCTAAGAGATTTCCGGCCTATTAGCTTAATAGGAAGCATATACAAGTTGATTTCTAAAATTCTCACGAAAAGGCTCAAGAAAGTGATGCACAAACTAGTTGATTCACACCAGATGACTTTAATAAAAGGAAGACAAATTACGGATGTTGTATTGATTGCTAATGAATGCATACATTCCAGGATTAAGGAAAAAGATCCAGGAATGATGTGCAAGCTAGACATTGAGAAAGCATATGACCATGTCAATTGGGATTTCCTCCTAGGAATTCTGCATAAAGATGGGTTTTGGAAGAAAGTGGATCAGTTGGATGAAATTTTGTACAAGTACTGTTAGATTCTCTATTTTGATCAATGGTTCCCCAGAAGGTTTCTTCCCCTCACAAAGGGGTATGAGACAAGGTGACCCCCTGTCACCATTTCTCTTCATAATAGCAATGGAAGGGCTGAACAACATGTTGAAGACTGCACATAACAATGGGTAGATTAAGGGCTTGAATATTGCAAGTAGTCAAGTTGAGAGGTTGGAAATTACTCACCTTCAATATGCGGATGATACTCTAATTATGTGTGGTGCAGAGGAAAGTCAAGTAAAATATATTAGGATTATCCTTATCCTCTTTGAAGTTATTTCTGGACTTCATATTAATCGGAGGAAAAGTCAGATTTATCCTGTTAATGAGGTGCCTAACATATAGATCCTGACAAACATTCTGGGAGGGGAAGTTGGTTCTTTTCCTACTATCTATTTGGGGATGCCTTTAGGAGCAAAAAGCATGTTAGTTTATAGATATGTATAGTGTAGTCTTGTCCCACATTGGAAGAAGAGTAATATCTCCT